AGTGGTGGTGGTGGGGGGTTGCAATGGCTGCATGTGGCCAAGCTGAAGTGGTTAGATTACTTACAGTGTCCCAATAATTCGTCCTGTATTTGCTTGAGTGTCTTTAGTACGGAAGATCTTAGCAATACCAAAGTCTGATATTCTTGGGTTCATCTCATCATCCAACAAAATATTGCTAGCTTTTAAGTCTCTGTGAATAACTGTGAACGCCGAGTATTCATGAATATATATAAGCCCTTGAATAATCCCTTCAATGATCTGAACTCTTTTCTCCCAGTTTAATTGCACCCGCTTACTTGGCTCTACATTCGATAATCAAATTGGTGAGTTTATGCAATATGTTGATAATTTGGTGCTAGTAAAATGATGATTATTTAGAGTCATAGAGACCGTATAGGTGGCAGTCCAAGCTCAAATTTGGCATTTATTCATATACTAGCATCTTCTCTTCTCTTTCGCTGCAAAAACCACTAACTCTTAACAGATTGACATGCTGTAACTTTACTGAAAGTGTAACCTCGTTTTGGAACTCCTCCACTCCTTGCACAGAGCATTGGGAGAGACGTTTAACTGCAATTTCTTGTCCATTGGGTAGTTCACCCTGGATAAAGAAGCATTCACGATTCAAACTGTAACCCCTATACCTAAAACAGTACTCCAATAATCTTTTTTCACACTTCTTTTTGGTCCAAAAAACAGTTAAGTGCGATCACATAAAGGTAATTCGTGAGCAAAAAAAGAGATGCACAAGTCCCATATGTAAATTTTTATCTGCTGTTGATCAGATATACGCTCATCTACATATAAAAAGTAGTAATTGATATAATTCAGTTATTGAAATTCCATACATTTCAGATTTCAAAGCTGAGTTAGCAATGATTTAAGGAATCTTATATTTCTTCTGGAGGTAAATTACCTTCCAAACAGGCCCAAATCCACCCTCCCCAAGTTTGTTTTGTAATGAGAAATTGTCTGTGGCTACTTGCATTTGAGCAAAACTGTAAATTTGCAGATTACTATCCACCGGTCTCTGATATAACTTTCTGTTCCCTGTAAAAGATTGAAATCACAAGATCTTAATATGACATTTTATTGGTTTTAAGTTGTTGAAACTAAATAATGCCAACTGCCATAGCACCTGAGTAGTTGCCTTTTCTTCTTACGGGCTTCCCTGTCACACAACATATTGCAGCACATAGGAGGAAAGCACCCAACGTGCATGCGGGCAATAAAATTGCCAATTCACTTCCCTTCATGTTATGCTGACCATCTTCTGTGCCCTGAGCTGCGAAATTAATCACTATTATATGAACATCTATACAGTGTCTCTACTATATATGTTCAAGAATTTGTGGATCTATGTTACATTATTTGCTCATTTGGAACGACTTTTTAAAGGATTTTTTCTTAGATAACTACTTTTTTAAAGCATTTAGAGGCTGGCTTTCGACTGCGGGCGTGCACTGGTAAACTCTACTCCTCTATCCTAATATGTGACGCACACGGGAGAGGTAAACTGAACTAAATAGTTCATAGTTGACTAGCTCACGGTTTAGGAGGTCATTATGAAGTCCCAATGAGATTCGACGGTTACATGTCATTCTTCCCAACCAACTGAGTTGGCGTCTTCCCCTAAAGCTGTGTTAATCACAATTTCAAACGATAGTGGCTTACCTGCTCTAGAGAGCAACCAATTGGCATCATCGTAAGGAACTTGAAATATAGTGTAACCACGAAGTCCTTTCTTCTTCGCATAGGAAACCTTAGTCTTGATTGCCTCGACATCATCATAACAGATCCAAGACGATTTTACCGTGAAGTGGTTCACAACATAAGTGGAGTTGTACACCGGTGTGACATTGTAGACATTCATGTACTTCTTTATGTCTTTATAGTTCATTGACCCATCTCGTGTTATGGCCAAACCTTTTGCAGGCGATCCCACAGTGTTGTCCTGCGGGTTCACAAGTGTCCAAGCGTAGCCATGGAACAGTAGACCAATGGTCAATTTTTCTGGAGGAAACCCTTTTCTGAACCATTCCCTTATGCCGTAATCAGTGTTTAACTTGCTTAAGGGATCGTATAGAGCAGAATGTGGTCCAGTGAAGTTATCTCTTTTAGGCAGATAGTAGCCGTATGACCTGAGATGAATCCAATCAAAGTGTCTAACCATTGAATCAACAGGGTAAGTCATGGAGTCCAGCTCTGGGGAGTAGTGTGCTCCCATTGTCAAGATCAGCCGTGGGGCCCGTGAGTCAGAGTCCACAGATGCCCGCCACTCATCCATGAAAAGCCCAATATTTGACTCGGTGTTAGGAAGGACACCGTAGAGATCCAGGCCATGGAATCCGTATTTCCTGGCGGCTTGTATGGAACTGTTGATGAATGATTTCCTGCTGGAAGACTGGTTAGCCATTGAGAAGAAGTGTGGGGCTTCCTCTTTCCCTGCCCAGATTGACAGTAGAGTTTTGACGTACGGGTTCTTGCGTCTGATGGTTTCTGTGAATGTTGAGATGTAGGGTTGATCGGAGGGGGGTATGTAGAGCTCATAAGTGGAGGAATTGATGCAGGCAAAGGCAAAGACGAGGTGTGTGTATAGAGATGAACTGATGTCTGGCACCGGGAACTGACTGCTGGCATGCCAGAAACCAGACTGGACCCAAGTGGCTTTTGATGTTGAAGTGATGCTGCTGCTGCTAAAAGTACAACATAGGTGGGAGATGACGAGGAAGAAGAAGATTTCTGGAGACATGGATGTCGGATGCAATGCAGGCAATGGTCTTCTCTCAGGTATAAACACTTTTTACATCTTTCTTTCTTGGACTTTGCCTTAGGGTGTCAACACTGAGAAAATAGATGATTGGTACATAAAGGTATGAATGGGTAGCTAGCATTCAGGCTTCAATGAAAACAGACTTGAGGGTTTCTCATGCTTTAGGATGTGACCGGCGATCACCATTTCTCTTTTAAGGGTAAAGAAAAGAAAAAATGGTAAAAGAAAAATGTTTGGTTAGAAAGGAAAAACAAGAAAGAGAAAAAAAAAATGGGGAAGAAAATGTAGATTAAAAAAGAAAAAAAATAGTTTTTCTTTCATTCATTTTTATATTCTCTCTCTCAAAAAAAAAAAAAACTCATCATTTCCTTTTCGGGTCGTCCCCAAAAAAGACTCCTTCCTTTTTTGGCAAATTTTGTGTGACCCAACATCTTTTTCTCTTCCCTGCATCACTTTCTACAACACAATTTCTATTTTTCTTTAACCTTGTGTCAAATTATATCAGGAGGCTACACTAGCAAAGAGTGATTCTATGGTGCACCTAAGGTCCATATGGACCTTCTCACATACGAAGTATTTTTTTTTTAATTTTAAAAATGTGTATTTCAATACCTGACAATACTTGCTCCATAATTTTGTTACGAAACAATTCTTTATTATAAAAACAATATAATTCTCTTCGTTGATACTTTACCACTATGGTTCAAAAAATATGGAAGAAAAAGAAAAAAAATTATTTTCTCTCAATTTCTTCACTAAAATGGAAGGAATTTAATTTTACTTCATCTTTTAAAATTTGTTCTCTTATTTCATTTTCCTTCTAATTTTCTTTTCCTTTCTTCTCAAATAAAACATAATGTAAATCAAACGGTTAATTACTAGTACAAGATATTTTCTCCATGCCAAGATCAAATTTTCAAGTTGACTTTACACACATAGTAAGAAAGAGAAATCGAGTTATTGATTTGGGGTATCTTATTCCAGGTTCTCCCAACAAAAAATTATGTATTCACATATAATAAATATACAATATCATCTACTCAGATACCACTTCAAACACAGATAAAGATAAATTCTTTTTTTATCCAAAATTAGTTTCTTACATATTTCTTTAGGGATCATTTAATTAAGTGAATTCTTTAACACTTTTTGAACATTTTTTAACTCCTTTCAAATTGTACTCCTTCCACTTTTTTAACTTCCTAGTTTTTTTTAACATTTAACTTTAGAATTCAACAAGAAAAAAAGTCTTTAAAAATGATATAAATATTTTGGACCATACAAACTTTTTCATTAAAAAATGAAAAGTAAATTTTACAATGGTAAAAAATAGTGATAAGAAAGTATTAGAAGACAAAAGGAAGAAAGATTAAAGTAGGACTAAAACATTTAAAATATACCAAAATAAGACTTTCATGTTTTTATTTCCAAAATAAGACTTATATTACCAAACATGATCATGTACATTACTAAAAAAGTATAGTAATGTGCATATGTATAATGTCACATGCAAAGTCTTATTTTAGGAAAAAGAAATGAAAATCTTATTTTGATACTTTTTCTATATTTTAATCCTATTTGAGTGATTTCTAAATACAGAGATTGTGTGAACATACATACTCCATTCTTCAAAAGAAAAGTTGAATGTGTTTGGGGGATGACGGATAACAAAAACGTGACAAATGTTAATTGCAATTATAAAGTCAATATAAAATTTTAATTTTGTCAATGAATTAATTTATATATATTTTCATTTTAATTTCGTAAAATTACATAATGATGTTTCTTTGTTGATTGAGATAATGTCAAATTATTTATGTCAATTTTTTGTTTAATTAAGATTAATAAAAAACACCTTGGTACTTTTTCCACTATTTTGTGACATTAAAATTAAAAAATAAAAATATATGCTACTGATATTGATTTAAAAGGTTAAAAAAAAAGTAAAATAAGTACAAGTAAAAAATACTCCATATTGCTATAAACTCGATGACTAGATATGTGGTTTGAAACAAAAATTTTCCAGTGGTACTTAATATGTTAAAACATAAATAAGATAAATAAAATAAATGAAGTATAAATTGTTTTAATAAATTTTTGAATTTTCAAAAATATAACTCCTTCCAATATTTGTTTACAACATTTTTTATTTTTTAAATATTTTTTAATTCTATCAAGTTTCTTCCTTTTTTTTAATACATCCAATTGTTTAGTTTCTTTCCGACTCAGGGTCTATTCTTTTTATTACTCTCTCCGTCCCAAATTATAATGTCTGTTTACTATTCATAGGGTCAAACTTCATTCACTTTCTTTCTCTATTTTTGTTAGCAATTTGATAAAATAAAATATTATTGTCACTACTAGTTTTGTAGATCTTTTGATGTAGTTTTTTAATATGTAATTTTTATTTTTTAATTCTATACCATTTGTCATATAAAATGGCTTGAAAATAATTTCAGTCAAACAACGTAAACCGAAACAGGCGTTATAAAATGGGACGGAGGTAGTAGAATTCCAAAATTGGATGATGAGAGAAATTAGAAGTTGTTTGAAGATGAAAAGTGATATTAAAATTACTCAATTAATTGATCGTCTAAATAAATGTGTAGTAAAATTAATTTTAATTTAAAAATACTTTATCTTTATTTGTGTTTGACATGGTAAAATATAAAAATCGATATATGATGTCATTGTGAATTCAATAATTCATCATATCTAAATAAGTCTTTTAAATCGTTAAAAAAATAGGAAGGAGTTAGAAAAAATAAAAAGAACTAATATGAAACTAAAACAAATTCGAGAAAGTTTAAAATTAATTTTTTCAATTCAAAAAAAGATGGGTTCAATCTAATTTTATTCAATTTATTCTATTTTTTCAAAAACATAAACAAAAAAAATTGTCATTTTTTTCACATGAATGTTAGGTACGTTAGGTAGAGTTGTATGAAAGCAGGGCGGAATTGGTTGATCCTCTGGTGTTTGTCGTGATGCTCCCGACGGACGGAGCTTTCATTCGTCAATCGTCAAATCCTCTGAAAACCGGTGAGTGGGAGAGCGCCCATGGGGAACCTTACGTCGAACGTGGCCGCAAAGCTGGCATTTTTCCCCCCAGATCCGCCCACATACACCGTTTTCAAAGACGCCGATGAAGGGCGGCTGTGCGTCAGCGGCGTGCCGGCCGACAAGGACGTCGACGTGCATTTGCTCGAGACTCAGGCGGGGAACAAGATCGTCGCCACCTTCTGGAGACACCCTTTCGCCAGGTTCACCCTCTTGTACTCCCATGGAAATGCTGCGGATTTGGGCCAAATGTTAGAGCTTTTCATTGAGCTCAGAGCGCACCTTCGTGTTAATATCATGAGGTATTATTAATCATCCATTCTCCATTTTTTTTCATTTTAATTTTCGTGATTTTCTAGTCTATCCCCACAAATTTAGAAAGTTTCTTTTTTTATAGGAAAAAAAATGTATTTTAACCTCTTATGCAGCTTTATTTTCTGCTTGAGTTGATTGACAAAATCTTGCCCTGTTATTCATTGCGTGTAATTGGGAATGTTGTTTATTTATTTTTGCACCTTAAGGTAGCTTTATCAGTTTGTGTTCACCGGAACCATGTTTTTGTTAATCAGCAGTTGAGACGGAGGATTGAGGCCGGGTTATTTGCTGCAATTCGTTTAATTTTTTAAATACTTAATTTACGTTTTCAAATTCTCATAGATTTCTGTCATTTATCTTTCTGCGGTCCTTAAATTCGATCTATACATTGTTCAAGACCAGCATCTTTGTAATGACATTAGTATTTGAGAAAGTACTTGACAGAAATTTTTTTCCAAAGTATTGTTCTGATGGAGCATAGTGTTTTATCTTCAAATCAAAGTTGTGTATGTGTGATTTCATGTTTGAGCACACTATTTAGTCTCCCTCATCTGATAATGTGATCTTTACTGCTTTGCAGCTATGATTATTCAGGGTATGGAAGATCTTGTGGTAAGGTAAGAACACAAACTGATATTGGATTGCTACTTAAGTTTCTTTCACCTTATCCTGCACAAACAATGGCAACAGGAAAACTTAGTTTTGCAGTAGAATTTACATTTACATTATGCAACACAAGCAACTCCAGTAATTATATACATTGCATCTTGAAGGGTAAAATGTTCCTTCCAACAGCACCATAACAACCTGATTTGTCTCATTTTGGGACCTCAATTATTTTCCTAAAATTATTCACCCCTATGTACACGGTATTGTTCACCACTATGGGAAGAATGAAAGAAAGAAGATACCGACCCTTCAAAAACTGTCATGGCGATGGTTGGATCTGCACGGGACTGCGATAGGGTAGGGCGTGGCGGCATAGGGAATATGTAGGGGGAGGAGGCGGCGACAGTTGGGGAGAAGAAGAGAAGAAAAAGATGAGGTGGTTAGGGCTGGCAAGAACATTTTTTTACATTTATAATAGTAATTATTAATGATTAAATTAATTAACTACTCCTATGTACAATGTAGTCTTATTTAAGGAGTACTCTGTAGTCTGTACTATTTGGGGAAGAAAACAATGTAGTCTTATTTAAGGAAAAGACCTGTGTTTAAATACTATCTACAACAATTTTCTCACTCCTTTAAAGGATTAATTTGACATTTTAAACTAGTTTCTTAAAAATGAGATTTTTTTGAAAGTGAACATGAACTTGGGCGGAGAAAGTAAATGTTTAGACTAACAGTTGGGAATTTTACCCCATCTTGGAAAACCAAATAGGGATAGCATCTTTTTTTTCATTGTTAATAGCTGTTTTTTCCCCGCTTTCATTTCAACAGCCATCTGAGTTGAATACATACTATGACATAGAAGCCGTGCACTGCTGTTTAAAGAGCGAATATGAAATCAAACCTGAGGATATGATTCTATATGGCCAATCTGTTGGAAGTGGGCCAACGTTGCACTTAGCTTCTTGTTTACCGAGGTTGAGAGCAGTTGTTCTTCATAGTGCTATTCTTTCTGGAATACGAGTTCTATGTCAGGTCAAGATGACATTCTGGTTTGACATTTTCAAAGTAAGCATTTCCTTATCTTTTCGTGATTCCGATGCTTGATATATATAATGTCCCAATCTTCATGTTCTTGAAAGTTATGTGTTTCTCTTCTTCTTTTTTTCAACCTGCAGAATATAGACAAGATACGGCAAGTCAGCTGCCCAGTTTTAGTCATCCATGTAAGAAACATATCTATCCTTAATTATTAATAATGTTTTCATGTGAAACCTGTTAGAGGCTTAGAGTCCATTTGTGTGGTAACATCTTTTTAGTAAACTTTGAGGACAAAAAGCATCATTTATCTTCATTTCAACTATTCCAGCAAACAAAAGAACCTTGTGCGCTACTTTTTTATTATTATCATTGATATTGAGCTAATGCATTAAAGGAGGATAGTGTTTGGTAAAAACAATGCTGGACATTTGACAAAACCAAATGGGTCCTGTCAAAGTACATGGTTTGTGACCACTGTACTAGTGTACTCATTTGTTTTTGTACTAGCATATTTTTTTGTACTAGTGTACTCATTAATCATTAGTCATTACATGTTCATGATGAGGGACACTTGCAGGGTACATCTGATGAAGTAGTTGATTTCTCCCATGGTAAGCGACTATGGGAACTTTCAAAAGAAAAATATGATCCGCTATGGGTCCAAGGTGGAGGACACTGTAACCTAGAGAGCTTTCCCGAGTACATAACACACTTGAAAAAATTCATAAATGCAATGGAAATACATTCGGTGTCTAAGCGAGGTCAACCTCAGTTGTCTCAATCCCTAAGTATAAGTGAATGTAAACCCAATAAGTGCTGGTTTATAAGATTTCGGAGAAGGTAAACGGATTGTCTTTACTTGCTCAAGAGGAAGATGCTCTGTGTTTCAACGGATTATCACTTGATAAGGTATGCTTCACACTTTCACTGCAATATACGCAGTATATATATGCCTTGATCTAAAATCCCCACCTAGTTGCTGTCTAGACATCAGGCATCCTTTGACTGGTGCTTCATTTTTCAATTGCCCTGCATTCTCTGCCTGAGTGCCTGGTCCTGCTTGGGTAATGGGCGGGCTCGGCCCAAAAACCGGTAACAAAAAAAATGCAATTTTTTGTTAACCATACCAACTTACACTTAACTTGCTCTGAAAAAGGTCAGTTAGCTTGGACTTTGGCAAAATGGAACATGTTAGTGGGTAGTATACACATAATGAAGTTATTCTGCAATTAATCCATGCTCAGATCTCACGTGCTGCTCTCTTGTGCTTCCAAACTAATGTTTATTTTGTCAAAAACTAATTTGGTTTTCTTTTTAGAACGTACATAAAAGTGTGTTAATTGATGCGGGGATGTTATGTTACTGTTCATGCCTTTATGGTATTGAAAACGTAATGAACTAATAAAACCTGGATAAACTGAACATCTTCTGACTACTGAAAACCTGGTTAACCAGCCATGCCCATCCCTAGCTAAGCCCTAGCCTACCTTTGTGTGAGCACTGACCATGTTGAACATTTAATTCTACCTTTATCATGAGGTTAAATTTGAAACTGCTTAGGTTGAAATCAGCAGATTGGCTAAGATGTGTTTTTTTTGCTTTGTTTGTTTTTGCAGAGCAGCAGTTAGCTTTTCTGTCAAACACGTTGGCACAATGGATCATCAGAAAACCATATTCGAGCGATCTAAGTATTATGTAAACTAGGAATGTCAAGAGTCTTGTGTGTGTGTGTGTGTGTGGTGAAGTGTATCTTTTATGTAAAGTAGGAGGGCTTACAAGGAATGCCAGTCTTCTTAAGCAGCTTAGTTCAGGCATATTCTGGTCTGTTAATATTAAGAAACTACCAATTGTGTATACTTGTGAATTTAATTAGATAGAGTGTATCTCTCACCCCAAAAAAAGTGTAAAATGCCGGTATTAGATTCTGTTACTATGAGCAAAAATGTACTACCTCCGTCTCATTTTAAATTGTTTGTTTTCCTTTTTTCTTCGTCCCAAAATAAGTTGTCTGTTAGTTGTTTTCGTAAACTTTTAAAAATAAAATACCTAAACTACCTTTAAAATAAGTCAATCTTCTCCACATTATATTCTCATTCATCATCCTTTCTAAAAAGTATTGACAATTTTGGAAAATCAACTCTATTTTTAATTTTCCTTAAATATGTCTAAAACGCAAAACGGACGATTTAAAAACGGGATGGAGGGAGTAAGAGAAATGTCAATTTTGTTACGAGAAAAAAGGGTCAAAATAGTGCCAAAAATACCGTGAAATACCAAATATTGTGCAAAGTTGTGTTCCACAATGTAAACAACACAAAATCCTATAACAATGTCAAAAAAATTGTCATAGTTTAGCATAAACTTTAACTTTTGATTCTATATTAGTTTATTTAATAAAAAATACCTATCACGAAATAAAGTGTGTATTTTCATTTTGTGAATGTGCCGAAATGTATTTTACTCTTTTCAACTTTATATTTATGAAATTAATACGTGGCTCTTACAAGTATTAATTTATCTCGCTTCTAAATAAATTGTAATCGCACAGATTTCATTTTGGTATAAAAGTCTCTCCAAATAAGTGCAGTGTATTATAGAAGGATTAGAAAAAATATGGAGTAGAATGAAATACTATGTCTTTTAAAATTAATTTTTTTAAAAAAATAATTTTTAAAAAAATATAATTGACATAAAAACTAAATTTAAACTTATATATAAAAACTATTTTCAAAATACTTTCTACTAGAGATATTACCTGAGTAATTTTTAAGATACATTAGGTTTTCAAGCTTACATCGGACTAATCCTAAATTTCTAAAAGTTCATTCAAAAATTTTAAAGTAAAGTAAATCTCGACCAGATCGTCCCTCAAGTTCCTACCTAAACTACCGAGTTTCTAATCGTCTTTCCACTAAATATAAACTTTTAGAATATCCTTAAAAATAAGGCATGTAAATGATTCGTCCAAAGAGTTAATGAACACTGGTACGGGGTATTAATATTTTGTAACTATGATAAGTGTATACCAATAAGTGTATATCAAGTTATACACTATAAGTGTGTACCGTCTCTTTGATGACTTATACTGACACAAAATATTAATCAATTTAAAAGTTTTGTGCAAACATTTAATATCAGTGTAAACTATTAATATATCCGTGTACATTTGTGTACAATTTGAGATACCCTTCTTGGTATAAAAGGAGTTTTATTCTCCTAACATTTTAAGGTGGGAATGGGGTTTTTATTAATGGAGGCAGGTACAATTAATTCGGCCTGCTCGACATATTCTCCTACGATCTTGTCCAAATTCAAGTTTGTGAACCTTGCCGCAAGCATCCGATTCAATTTACAGATAAAAGTTTCTAGAGAGAGAGAGAGGGAGAGTTTGCGTGGGGATAATTTTTGTTTCTTGAATTAGAGAGAGAAGTGCTTCAGGGGAGGAGGAGACATGAAGATCACGGCGTTGCTGGTGCTGAAATGCACTCCCGAGGGTTCCGATCCGGTGATCCTAGCCAACGCATCCGACGTCAGCCGTTTCGGGTACTTCCAGAGACCCAGCGTCAAGGAATTCATCGTTTTCGTCGGCAAGACCGTCGCCGGACGGACCCCTCCCGGCCAGCGCCAATCCATCCAGCACGAAGGTGATTTTTTTGTGTTTTTTTTTCTTTCTCGTTGATGGGTATTGATCGTTCCATCTTGCCGCATAGAGAATGTTGTGGATGCAATATGATTAATTATCAAATTGAAAAGACGAGTGGTGTTTGCAAGTTTTCTGTTGCTTGTTTATATTATGATTATGAATTGCATAGCGACTGCCATTCATACCTCATGAATTTGATTGTAGAAATTAAATGCAGCGATGTTTCAGACTCAGTTTTAAATTTGGGTGAAGCTGTAGGTTATAAATAAAATTAAGACTCTTTGGTACTCTCAACCATTAAAAAAGTTCCATTTCTTTTATAGGCTTATCCTTTTCACTGATCTGGTATTTGATTTTTTGTTATGTCATATAAATTTTGGCTTGGACTTCTCATATTTTGATATGAGGTTGTTTCTCGGTGTCAAAATATACTCGGTACCGAACAAAGGCTAAATGTTTAATGCTGGAGTATGCTCATCAACCTTATAGAAGATCATTCTGTCAGTTGGTTGCATTGTTTCCTGTGTTGCCTAATTTCTTTTGTGCATCATTGACTTGCTTCTTGGTGTCCTGTTTTTCCTGTTTTTTGGTGTCCTTTTGTCAAAAGTTAGAATCTCTGCTTCTTCAAGTTATTTTCATAGTTGAGAAAAAAGTTAGCTAAATATTAAATTATTATTATGCATTCTACTTCTCTTTCATTTAGGAATACAGTTACATCATCTTGGTGATGAAATGCTACTTCATGTACAACTTTTCTGTGTTAACAAATAATTATTCAACAATAGCCAAGTTTGTTTGCCTAAATGTATTGTCTCTTTAAAAAACAACACACCCAGTACAATCCAAACTCTGTTGGGGTTAGGGGGAGGGTCAAGATGTTGGCCCATTTATCCATTTTTTGTATTCCACTAAGTGACAATACACATGAAACAGTATCGTCAAGAGTAACATATATGACTTTGATGCAATAGAGTACAAGGTGCATTCCTATAACCGAAATGGCTTGTGTGCATTGGGTTTTATGGATGATCCCTATCCGGTTCGAAGTGCTTTTTCACTGCTAAACCAGGTACTAAGAGTTTAATTGATGGTCGGGAAAAAATGAGAAAGGTTTTGTTCTAATGAGCGTTTATGTTAGATGTATTTTTGATGATAATTGTTCTAGGTCTTGGATGAGTACCAAAAAAATTTTGGCGAGTCTTGGAGATCTGTAAATCCAGGTGGTACTACTCCAGAATGGCCCTATTTAGCTGAAGCTTTAAATAAATTTCAGGTTTCTAGATAACGTTTTGCATCTCCAGAGTCCAGATTAATGTCATTATTGACAAATCATATTGTGAAAAAACCTTTCTTGATTATGTTTCCTTTCCTCTTATCCCTTCAGGATCCAGCTGAAGCTGATAAGCTGTTGAAAATTCAAAAGGAATTGGATGAAACAAAAATTATTCTTGTAAGTAATGTGCTTGTGTGTGCATCGTTAGTTTTTTTCTCAATTTCATGCTTGTCATAGTTTATCTGATATCAACAGATGAACAGAGTTTGATATATCTAATAAATATACTCCAATGTTAGATGGAATTTGTGTTAAAAAAAAACCTAGTTGTATATGGCAGCTTATCTGGACAAGGCAAATGCTCATTACTGTTCCTTCTTTGTAGCATTGCAAGAAACAGTATCTCTCTATTCTAGAAGTATTTGTTGGATGTTATATTGCATATTTGAGATACTGAATATGAAAAGACTCCTCTTTGCATCTTGTTTGTATGTCATATTTGAGAACCCATATTTCCACCAGAAGTATGATATTTTGAACTACAATGAATAAGTGTGCCAATGGTATACTTTTAGGAAGTTTGGAAATTAAACTTTAATCTCTTGCTGATTGCCTCGCTGAACCTTTAATGACGATGGGTAATTAATTACTGGCCACTTTTTGCCTTCAGCACAAGACAATTGACAGCGTTCTGGCACGGGGCGAGAAGCTTGACAGTTTGGTTGAGAAGAGTTCTGATCTGAGTGCAGCTTCACAGGTACATTTGTTATTTGTTTTCACTTATAGTAGTACACTCTTGTTGCTTAACCACAATGGAGTGCATTGCAAGGCAATCAAATATATTTTGTGTAAAATCATGTTATACGTGCATTTGCTCACATTACATTATTTTCCATCATGGCTTACCAAATGGGCAAATTATATGGTACATCCAGTTGTACCTTCCTTTAAGTACATCCTGGTATTTTTGTAAATTTTGCAAACTTTTTATCCAATGCCCAGAACATATATGAGAACTATTATATATGACAATGAGTACTAGCAGATTTGAGAATGAGTACCAGCACTTATGAGAATTATCATATTCTTATTCAATACAAACATGAATAAACCTGAGTTTTAAATTCTCCATGCTCAGAGAGTATAAATGAGTAGGAACGAATCGAATGGAGGAAGAAGTTGATGATGGTACTGAACTTTTTAATTGTGAAAAAATTGAACAATACTTTATTTCAAAATGAACACTTCCTTATTTGAGAATGAGTATTGTTTTTTTAAGAATGAACACTACGCTATTTATTATAATTATATTAGACAAATGTGTAAAAATGAGTACTTTATTTTAAAATGAGTATTACCTTTGCCAGAATGAGTACTACGTAGTTTGAAATGAATGATTATATTTGTACGAGAATGAGTACTACTTTATTTCAGAATGAGTACTACTGGGATGTACCTATTTCTAGGTACATCCGGATGTACCATATACCAACTCTACCAAATGTTACCTTAAATAATCATGGAACCTGTGGTATAGGTCATGGCTTTTAATATCTTATGCCAAAATTTGCATTTTTTCTTTCTATTATGGCTTGCTAAATGTTACCCTATACAATCATAGAACATGTGTAGGTTATGGCTTTTAGTTTCATGTTGGTCAATAGGTTATTAGGTACATCATGATTTGGTTAGGTAGGGGCATTAAGTAAACAATGTTTAGGTAGGTAGTGATACAATAGGTTATTGCCCAATCCTTGCATGACGACTTGCAACTTGAAGGCATGCTGTTATTTTATTGCATTTGAATGTAACTAAAACATGTTAATGTATGATGATGGTACTGCTATAGGGATACAAAATTGTTATTATAGCATTACCCAAGCATGACTACTTGCTGCTTGAATTCATGGTGTATATATTAGTACAACGTAAATTCTTCTATAGATGACTGCGTCTTTTTATCTTTGCTATTCAGTTTTTTGGGTATTTGCAATTTGAACTCATTCCACAACCACATATGTTGAAGTATCGTGTTCATGGTCTTTAAAACAGATGTTCTACAAGCAGGCAAAGAAAACAAACCAGTGCTGTACAATTTTATAAGCAATTTCTATCACGTAACAGAGGGGTCATCTGTGGTCTCTGCATATTCCTGTGGAGTCTTCCAGGTGAGACAGTGAAGAAGAAGAAAGAAAAAGACGGAGGAGAAGTCTATGTTTATATATTGATCTTTTCTTTTGATTTGTGTGATTCAATACTTTTAATTTTCTTGTTCTGTGCAACGGGCAAAGATGCTTTATCTCACATTAACATATTATAAAAATGTTTCTTGGTTGTTTTTGGCTCTCTTTCCATAAACCGTTCCCACAGGCTATAGCTATTTTCATTAATATATATTCTAATATATGGTAAATTTGTTGGGGATGATCATTGGCTTGCAATTTAGTGCTGGTAATGATAGGCCAACAGGTAGGTTGTTTGATTGAGCTATTAAGTTGCTCTTTTGCACTAAAAAAAGTTCAATTTACTAATGAAATACAGTATTCCAGATTTTTGACATATTACGGAGTAATATTCAGTGTCAAAGAGATCATTTTCCTTATTTTAAAACAGAAATTGAATTTTTTTTTTTAAAAAAAAGGTACCATTCAGTTATTTTATTTATTTATAAAATAATGCTAAGAATAATGTTCGTTTCATTAGCTTTACTCCATATTTCATGTTTTATTTAGTCCTTTATGTTCTCCTTCCTATTTCTTTTTTTCCACAATGAACAATTAGTTTTCATGTCATTATATTTTCTTCTCTTTTAAATTTTGTTCACATAAATAATACGAGTATAAAGAAAAGATGAAAAGAATTAAATAAGGAAATTTGTATGGAGTAACTTATAAGAAAAATATTAATCACAAATACAAAAATCACAAAATATACAATTTGTGCACCTCATTAAGAGAGAAAATAATAATTTTAATGCTCCGTAGTTAATAATAGAAATTTAATTGGACAAATGGCAAAATTGTGTATGTTGTGACTATGGTGGCTCTAACAAATCGTAAATTCTTTCAAAAAAAAGTACTGGTATATCATTTACTCCTAAACTCTTAAGAAATTACGCAGTATATGATTTACCCTTGAACATTAAAAACTGCATCATTTACCTTTGAACTTTTCGAAAAAAATACACAATTTACACCTATACATTAAAAATGCATCATTTACCCTCAAACTTCTCAAAAATTACACGGTTTACCCTTAAACATAAAAAAAATAAATCGGATAGCCTTAGACAATTTAAATTTTAAAAGGTTGCAACATTGGTCCTCGAATGTTACTCCGTATATAGGAAGTGCATTGCTTCCACGAGAAATGTGAGTGTGATTTAAATTCTCTAAAATACCTTTCTCTAAAATTATCTTCTTAATTTAAATATTCCCAATAAACCATACAATTCTGGTAAAACATACGATGTCTAAAATTTTTAAAAAGTTCAGAATACTTGGTTTGCTTTTTAATACTCCGTATTTAAAGGTAAACCATGCAATTTCTGAAAAACTCAAAGATATTTATAATTTTTATTGAAAGATAAATCGTACATTTTCTAAAGAATTGAAGAATAAACGATGCACTTTTCTCATTCTGGGAATGTCATAAAATTTCAAAAAAAAATAATAATAAAATGAATTACTACAACAAAAAGGTAAGAGAAATGATATCAAAACCATTATAATGTTAGGAAAAAAACAATCAAAACCAAGATCTGATCTGATTTTAAAAAGTTCTGATCTGGTCTGATCTGATTGGATCTGATCGAATTAGATCTGATCTGATTATATCTGATCCGATCGAATCTGGTCAGATCTAATTAATTACTTCGTATGATTTAATTTAAAATTTTAAATTAATAATTTGATTTGACTTTATAATAACGTTTAAAAATTGTAATTATAATTCATATTATAATATAATCAATATTTTTTATTTAATAAAATAAAAATAGTTAATTCATATATTAGAATAATCATTTATATTATAATGTAATAATATTTTTTATTTTATGATTACTTTTTTATATTAGAATACATATTTATTTTAAATATACATTAAACTTAATTAAATTTAGATAATCAATATATAGAAGAGATAGTATTTTTATTAAAATATCTCATCCTTATAAAAGATCAAAATTTTAGAAACTCAAATTACAAGTAGCAATAAAAATATATTTTAAAAGTAGAATTAGATTGACATTGTTAATGTATTTTAAAACTAATTTTTCCGACGTCTAATAATTAAGGATTATTTTCTCAGTTTTCTATTTAACCTATTTCTAAAATTTATTCTTTATCATTTTTAAGAATAATAATAATAATAATAATGATTCTTGATGTGATCTGATTTTAATAAGAATAAGAAAAAATAAAAAAAAATAAGTTGAACGAAACGGGACCTAATTGTTGTTGGGCATAGCCAAACAACATTTGCCAGAAAGCGCCAAAAAATAAAGAATACAATCTTTATTTGCAAAAAAAAAAAAA